AGCAAGTCATTTTCATTCGAGTTCCGGGAAATCCCGTTAGAACGAACGGCATTTTGAAAAACGGCGAAAGATAGAATATCAAAAGATTAATATGATGAAGAGAAGATTTTAAATAAAGAACGACGAGCTGTACAAAGAAATGAGATGGAAACTGGCAATAATACTTCGAGGAAATGAAATCGCAGTGAAACGAGGAGCAATTCCACTGGAAAAATATTGCACTGTAAATAGGAAATAAACGAAAAATCACAGATCACAAAGAAATCCATTGAGATTACCATATCAAAGTGAGCTGACTGATCGATTTTGATAGAAAATTCAGCTGACTTCAACATAGCGACTTCTGAAGAACCAATGAACTGGTTTTTTAGAGCGGTCTTAAGAAATATGTATGGAAAGAAAATTAAGAGGAGATATCACAGGGTGAAATCCAACTTCAGCATCCAGCCAATGCCACTGAACACAAGTCCAACAGCATTGCATCAGAAAAGAATCACGCAGAAACGAAAACATTCAACAATCGAATGATAACTCCAGCACATTTTGCGCCCACTCCGAGCACTTAGAAATTTTCTCTTTCTAATTCTCAAATGATTTCAGTGATATGCTTCAGCTTCAAATGTTTTCCTGAGCATGTCAGCTAACATTCCGACACAACGGGAACCTCAGTGAACAGATGAAAGAGGGCGGAATTTCACAATCAATCGACAACTTCAGAATCAACTTTGGTCTGCATCATGCTCTTGATTCTGATCAGACTTGATCAAGCCAGTGCTTTCTTTCATAATATAGAAATTTCTCGTTATAAACCAAGATTCTTGAGTGAGTGAAGCCAGAATCACTGTAATTTTACTCGTAGCATCAGTCTAAAGCAAGAATTACATCCTCCGTTAAGGAACAATGACAACAGAACTGACATTTGACTAGGACAAAATAACTGACGGATATGTATTCATGATTCAGATTTGTACACTTGTAAATCTTAGAAAAATTATACATTCAGACCAATTACAGGAAAATACCTATTGATAGGCATTCACATTATGATAGTGAGAAGTTTACATTCGATAAGCATCTGGGATTATAGATGAAAATAAGAACGGAATGAGATTATAGGATAGTTGGCATCGAAATCGGATTTGCAGCGAATTTTGCATCCATTGAAAGGCCAATTGCTGATGGTAGAGCGTGTGTGACCGGCTTATCACTCAGCTCGCAGTAGCCATCTGAAAAATGCATTAGTTGGACCCACATCAGTAAGTATGAAACGATTATCTTCAACACGAATCGTAATAACGTGCTCACTTCAATTCATAGTGACTACCAGTCATAGAGTACTTCAAGAAAATTGGAAGACAATCTGCCACGATTCAACCTGCTACATTCCAACAACAATTATTTTTGCACAATGTGAATCAGCAGGCAAATGAGAATTATGGGATGTGATTAAGGAAAGCGTATGGATTTTCAAAGTGTAGCAGATTTAGCCTCATCGATATCGTCATTGGTCATTCGGTTTGAATGACTTAGTTGTCACATCTCTGCGGTTTGCTTTTTCCAGTGATACAGGCGATTTTCCTTTAACATTGACAGATTCGTAAGTCTCAAAAAAAAATTTCTCAAAGCATTCATAAATTCAAATCTAGCCTAGATGAATCTTTTGTGGTTTTGCAGTTGATGTTCAATGCATAAACAAGCCAACATTGAGCATTTCATTCAAACATCCGCTTTCAAAGGCTAACGTACCTTGTGGAGGCAGTTCATTGTCTGGTGCAAATTCCACGTAAGGACATTGTTGACTGTTCAGATCGCTCAAATGCTCACATAAATACGCAAATGACGGTCGATCTGAAGCGTTGTGCGCCCAACACTGCATCATCACATCATAACTGAAACTATCAATCACTGATAGCATTCGGCAATGTGACTTTTACACGTTTCTTCCGAAGCGAAGATTTGCTCAGTATCACGATGACAAACGTTGTGATTGGTTTAGGAAGTGAATCAAAAGAGGCACTTTTCGGAGACATCCACCACTATTTAAAATTTCACTTGAACAATAGTGCAGTAATTCATCGAAAGGTTTTTTTATTTGAACATATCCGCAAGGCAAATTACATTCGAATTTCGCTTACATGTCATTCGAGCAAGACGTTGGTTTCTCGAGACGATTCCCTTGTTGCAAATACTTCAGAATGTCCTTATCGCTCACTGTCGGATATGGGAATCCTCCAAGGGTACAAATTTCCCAAAGCACCACACCGTACGCCTAAACAGAGATCGTGATCTGTAGGTCAAGACAAATTGAGCGAGTGGATAAACTCCGGAAGTTCTAAAGTAATCACTGGAAGTAAACGTGCGCTTTTATGATTTTCCAGCAAGCTGTAAGCCTTTGATATGATCTGACTTCTAATCTGGAGAAGAGTTAAGAATATGGATTTCATCAAGACACTGCTTGGTCCAGGCTAATGCGCTTGCATGAGTTCGTGTCCTACTGATCATTATCAGAAGTTTGCTAAGAATCTATGAATTTACTTCTGTTTCAGCTTAAACGCTTCGAATTAAACGATTGACAGACACTCACTTGGCGAGCTAATCTCTGGTTCAAACGCTACGATTCTAGCAGTCGTCTCGAAATCTCTTTTTTGGCATATCATTTTTGCGGCGAACTATCAATGGTATAAAACCACTGCCTCAAAGGAATAGTTTAAATGAAACACCTAGCATAGATGAATGTGGTGGATAAAACTAGTTGTCAGTTGTCAATTAAATCATCTGATATTGTAAAGTCCCTGCATTGCAAACTTATTTCTAACTTAGATCAATTAGTATATGAAAGCGCTCAGTTGTGAATACTACAACAATTCCGTCACCTTAATATCTTATTAGCAAGTGCACTTTTCATTCACTCATCAACGCACGCAACTGTTACCTTTCATTAGGCAACACCTCATTTAATCTCTCATTTTAAACAACTTCTGCATTATTATTATCATCATCGACTCAATTCTGATTCGTGCCAAAGCGCTGTGTTAGATCAGTCAATGAACTCGTTATGGACGACACTCAGTCAACGTTTCTTAATGTTGGTGCTTAATGTTGAATTAGCACAAGTTTAACGGACCATTTCCCTGTATTAGCTTAGAGCATTTTCAATAAATGAAGAAGAAATAAACAGTGTCTTGTGATAGAGGAGGATAATAAGAACTGGAAAATGGCATGAAAAAGACAAGTGTACATAAAAGAGTTTGCAAATTGACAATGATTCAAGGAAAGTATTTCATTGATGTGGAGCGATCATGAAACAGAATCTAGATTGTTTTGTTTTGAATAAAGACGGTGCTCATCGTCAGTGTAAAGCATCGGTGCATTAAACCAACTTAACAGTTGTTCAAGCTTGAATAGTAGAATGATCATTAGAATTTATGGATATGTGCTGTTTGGATATGATACGATTTAGATAAATACGCACTTTTCGATAGGCATTTGAACATTTGTCGATGATTTGGAAAGTATATTTCAGTTCGAGGTTGTAAGCTTTTATTGTATACTTTAATTAAGTATAACATTTCGTTTCTCCATTTCACTCAGGAGAACTTTTCAAAATGCACGAATGAATACCTTCAGAAAAGTGGGAGCGGGAGTTTGCCATATGATCAACTATGAGATATGTGTTTAAGAAACTGGTTCCGCTTTCATATAGAAATGTTCAAACACAATGTATCAAGATTGTTCGATTATCATGAGGGTGCTCTTCTCATTGTCGTATACCAATACGTAACGGTAACTAATATCTTCCTAATTGTAACAATAAGATCCCTAACGAAGAAGCATTGTCTGCGTCCATGAAATATGTCGCATCATCTCGCAGAACAAGCATATTTTAGCGTATTCTTGTATATTCTATCCATTCACATCAGAAGAAATATTCAATAGCCGAGTCATCAACGCCTAAAGACCGGCTCTTTCAAGCGTGCCACAATATACCAAAATACAGTTTGTGATTGAAGTTGATACTTGTAGATGACATGCAACAATTGCGAAAATTTTGAACTGATTCGCAAGATGATGCAATATGCTGATTGTGAGCCATAAAAACAACTAAGTAAGAAATTACCATTGGTCCCAATAGTATTTTACCGCATAATCAGCAACACTTGAAGAGAACAGGAATATTATCCACTTACCCAGACATCGCTTTTTGTTGAATAGAGATTATGTTGAATGGCTTCAATGGAAAGCCATCGCAACGGTATAACGCCTTTACTCGTCTTAACGTAAACACCATGCCTGGACAGACCAAAATCACTGATCTTCAACTGATTCCCACGACCAACCAAGATGTTTCGGGCAGCCAAATCACGATGAATGATGCCAAGTGATTCGATATGAGCCTTTAATTGAATCATGCTGATTTGCGTACGATAACAACTAAAAATCACACTGATTTGTTTGATCATTTCAAATGTTTTATTCAAGAAATGCTTGATAAAAGAGAGCAGCGTGATGGATGGTATGATTGCCCTACTCACCATTCCATTAGCAACTTGAATGGCGAAGCTTTGCAGTTCAGTTGGGTCTAAATGATAGAGACCTGCGGCCGAAGGAGATGAATCTTCGACTGCCGATACAAATGAAGAATGTAGTGAGGGTGGCAGCGACGGTGGACACACGGGCGCATCTCGTCCACCACAATTCATTGACGTTTTTATATTGAGTACAGCGAGATCAAGCTGAAACACCGCATATTTCTTTTAGATCCTCAATTCATTGCCGTTCTATCTATTGTTTTACCCTAGTGGTTCTCACGTTCGGATGTTCCATTACCCCTTTTGATGATCTGGCAGGCAGCCGT